TTAGCCGTCTGAATCTGTATTAAGCACCTACAGACCGGACAGTGGTCTTAGGCGAATCGTGCCATTGCTGAACTAAGGCGACAAATGCGCATCAATACGTCACCTAAAAGTCTAATAGAGTTCCTTTGCGTAGCCTTTTGGTTGATGTCGGCTAGGGCTTACGCAATAGCTGCTGATTTATCGCGATGTGGGATCGCGAGTAGTATGGTCGGTGGCACGATACGAGTAGGGATATACGACGACCAACCAATCTATTCCAAAAATCAAATACGCCGGAGCCATGTTCGTAGATAAATATCTCGCGACACTTTACTGGCTTACGTGCCTTTAAAGATGCATCAAGACTTGCTTATCCCGTCCGTCCCACCCTCCCATCACAAGCTCTATTCACTTACTATTACTTCTGTCCTCATTCTCCAACACATCTTCGCTTAAGCACATACACTGGCTGTATCTGCTTCACAAAGAAAATGCGCACCTTTCTCAAGGCAGGATTGATGATCGGCGTCGCCGCCGCCCAGTCTACACCCCCTGACGGTTCTCCGTCCTCCGGTACCGTCAACAGTGGTACCGGCCTTTACAACTTGGCCGACGGACAGGTTGTCAACGGCGGAACATACTCGTGCAGCGATAATGATACCAGCGTGTTCGTCGCCAACAACACCGTCAGTGCCACCCTGATCGACGTCACCGTCATCAAGTCGGGCAACACCTCCTCGGACGACGACAGCAGCTTTTACGGTCTCAACGCGGGGATCTTGGCTGTCGGAAATGCCGTTCTGAACATTACAGGCGGCTCGGTCCAAGATGTCGGCCAGGGGTCTGACGGTGTCTTCGCCTACGGGAATTCCACCATCTACATCACTGGCACTACGATCAATGTGGAGGGAGGCAACTCCGGGGGCATTGAAGTTGCCGGGGGCGGCACCATGTACGCTTCGGACTTGACGATTGATTCCAACAACAAGGCCGCCATCCGCAGCGACCGTGGTGGCGGCACGTTGGTTGTCGATGGAGGCGTGTACCGCACCTCTGGTTCTCAAGGTGCGCCGGCTGTCTACTCTACGGCCAACCTGACCGTGAGCAACGCCGTTTTGAACGCCGCCGCATGCCAGGCACTCGTCATCGAGGGTCTCAACGAGCTGACCATCAACAACTGCACGGTTTCGGGAAAGATGAGCACGTATGGGACTCAGCAGCTACACAACGTGATGCTCTATCAGAGCATGTCCGGCGATGCGGAAGATGGACTCGCCGAATTCACAATGAATGGCGGATCCATGGAATCGCTGAGCGGCTGCATGTTCTATGTCACCAACACCGACGCTGAGGTTACTCTCAACAGCGCTGATCTGACCTTGAGCGGTGACAGCAACTATCTTTTCAACGTGTCCGGAAACGACGCCTCCAACGGCTGGGGCAGCGTTGGCTCAAACGGTGGAAATGCCACTTTGAACCTCTCTGGCCAGACCGTTACAGGCAATCTCTACGCCGACTCCATCTCCAGCCTGAGCGTCAATATCGCTGATGAATCCGACCTGACTGGCGCTATAAATCCCGACGGCACGACAGCAGCTGGTCTTTCCGTCACCGTTGACTCGACTAGCTCTTGGACTCTCAGTGCTGATAGTTATATCTCTTCTTTCAGTGGTACCTTGGCGAATGTTGATCAGGGAACGCACACGCTTTATGTCAACGGTACTGCGGCCACCCAGTAGGTTCTACTCCAACTGGTCGCGTGAAAAGTCATACATTCTCGATGAAAGAAAGCTAGCCTAGATGTACGCAGAGATCATAAGGCACAGACGGAGGTCAGTGGTTGAGATTTTATCCTCACAAATACTACATATCTCACGTTGCTGTTCAAATTTGGAATGTTTGGGAAGCACAATTGAATCAGATACTTTATTCTTCGAGATCTTAAAGCCTAGAGAGAATTGAATAACAATGCCTGTTCTATCGTATGCAGTTCTAGTCGTCAAGCCAGTACGTTACGTAACTATCACCTGCGACACAACTACCAGGGTGCAGGGGATAATACTACAAATCTGCAAGCAGCAAATGAGTCATCCTGGCTCAGAGTCTCTCACTGCCTGTCATACACGAATATGTATCGACGGAAATTTTTCATCATGAGTCGAGAGACGGGTCACAGAGGAAATGAATTGTTTTGAGGACAAAATGAGATTTAAATATCAAGCATCGGTCGGAGTGCATTTGGTCGGATCTCATCACATTCTACACGACCTTAGATTGTCTTCTTAAAACCCCAACAATTCATCAATTACAAACACCCAAACAAAAATCCACAGTATCCTCATATCAAATGACAGGCCTAGGGGTTGCAGCCGGTGTCGCTTCAGCTTGCATCCCGTCGACATTCACGGATCCCGGTCTTTTTGGCAGCCACATCTTATCCTTCTCGGCTGAAGTCGTCTCAAACTACACTGCGACCGCACCGTACCAGACCACAGTCCATCATCCCACCATCGAAGTTCAAGACGCCGAATTCTGCAATGTGACCGTCACGTACACCCACCCAGGGCAAGACGACCTCATCAATGTGGAGATTTGGCTACCAATCGGTAACTGGAATGAGCGACTTCTTGCTGTTGGCGGTGGCGGCTACGTCGCTGGCCGGTTCTCCTACTCTGAGACGATGATGGTTGCAGGTCTCGGCCAGGGCTACGCCACTGTTACGACTGACGCAGGCTTGGGAAGTTCTTCTTATCCCGAAGACTGGGCTCTGTTGAGTCCCGGAAATGTCAACCTTTATGCCCTCCAGAATTTGGCTTCTACGTCTCTCAACGACGAGGTATGCAACTACTCCATTTGGATGAGGTTTTAGACCGCCTGCACAAAGCCAACATGGATCAATTCAGACTAACTCTCTGTGAAAAGGCCATCATTGCAAAATCGGCCATCAAGGACTTCTACGAAACCCCCCAAAAATACTCCTACTGGAGCGGGTGTTCTCAAGGCGGTCGCCAAGGCCTAATGCTCGCCCAGCGATATCCCGATGCCTTTGATGGCATCGCCGCAACTGCTCCGGCTATAAAATTCCCTGAGATCTTCGCCAGCTTCTACTGGCCTCAGGTCATTATGAACGAGCTGAGACAGCACCCAGCCCCATGCGAATTCGCATATCTAGCAAAAGCTGCCGTGAGCGAATGCGACGCCATCGACGGCGTTGTCGACGGAGTCATCTCAAACATGGACGACTGCCACTTCGATCCTTTCGGCAGTGTGGGAAACGTCTTCAACTGCTCCGACACCGGGAAAAGCGTGCATCTTAGTAAGGCCGCCGCCATCGTGGCCAATGCGACATGGACAGGAGCTCGAAGTTCCGATGGGCGCTTCCTCTGGTACGGCAATGGCTACGGGTCTGATTTCCAGAGCTCGCAAGGCGCAGGCATTGCGGCTACGGACTGCAGCAATGGGACGTGTGTTGGCGCGCCGACGGCGCTTGGGACGCAGTGGATTCGGTCTTTTATCGAGAAGAATAAGTCGTTCGACTACAACACGATATCACGTCATGATTTTGACCGCATCTTCCACGAGTCTGTTGCTCAATACACGTCTATTATCGGTACCGCTGATCCGGACCTTTCTTCCTTCCGCGATGCTGGTGGCAAGTTGTTAGTATTCCATGGCACAGTCAGTCTCAATCTACCCCCGAAAGCCGTGGAAGATCCCAAAGGCCGTCTTTTGCCAGAAAAAAAGCTGACACCGGGCCAGAACGACCAGCTCATCCCGTCCAAGGGTTCAGACGACTATTACGACTCGGTCGCATCTCGGACAGACGACGTGGACGAATTCTACCGTTACTTCCACCTGCCCGGTTACGGCCATTGCTCCGGAGGCAGCGATGCATCACCGATAACGAGCTTCGAGCAGTTGCGGTCGTGGGTTGAGGATGGAAGGAAGCCAGAGACGATTCCCGTCACAATCAAGGATTCCCGCGGCCAGAAATTCGATCGGTCGTTGTGCCCTTATCCCAAAAAGACTACCTTTGACGGTGGCGATCCGACCAGCTCGGACAGCTTCTCCTGCAAAGAGTAAGTCACTATTGAGTATGGTCAGGGTCCAGTGTTTTCATTTCATCTTCATCTCTTGCGGCGAGGGACAAGTACTTTTTAATCCTCGCTAGCTTATTTACTATGGTGGATCGTTCAAAGCAGAGCTCACTCACCTTCTCAAGCCTGAGCCTATGTACCCTTCTGTCTATATTACTAGGGCTGCTCATTGCATCGTCTTCCGTGGTCTACTTTCTTGGATGAACGTGAGGATAGGCTACAGAGAAATTGGGTCATTAAGTTGACCCTTTGTTCACATTCAATCGTTGAAATGACTTGCTTTGGCGCACACAGACCAGAACGAGTAATTATAGAACTGAAATAGAACTGGATCTAAAATCGGGCTTTTTGTTCCTTCGTCGTGCCTTAAACTGAATGAAACGAGTATCAATCGACGCCTAGCCGGCACGGATGTCCGCCTTTGAGATTTCCGTGACCATTTGTCCGGCTGCATCTCTTCTGACTCCTGCATATGGTTGTGTCCGGGATCGCCGTGTGCATGATCTACCAGATAGTCGGTCAGGATAGGATCGGCGTGTGATAAGCCAGTGCAAACTACTGCTACCCCAACTTTGCTTGAGAAGCCGATACCTGGAATGGTGTGTTTGGTCAGATGGAGACCGCCATTCAGCCACAAGACTACCAGAGTCCTCCAGCCGAGATCTCCTCTCCGATCCACGCTGCAGCGATACTGATCTTGTTTTTTCCTATTTTTAGCTCATAAAGCGAAAAGATAAAAAGTCGACATGTACTGATGTTTGCTATATGCCCAGTCCGGTCATTATCTAGTCTGTTTCAAGGTAAACCCCCTAGCTGATATGGAGCGGAGAGTTTAGGTTCGTCGACGATGTGTACCTCTGGGAATTAAGGAAGGCTGCACTATATAGATTATGTTTTCAACAGACAGAGCAGCCCAACAAGAAAGCCCGGGTAGCTCAATTGGCTAGAGCGTGTGACTTTTACTTAAAAGAAAGCCTTTTTAGGCCTACTACAAAAGTTCCCATCACAAGGTTGGGGGTTCGAGACCCCCTTCGGGCGCACTTTTACTTTTTTTTGCTCTGATGGGATCTAAATAACAGAGTACTAAAAATAGACACTGTATTGAAGGGAATTTTTGCGGAGGGTGACAGGTTAGTGGCAGTGACTGACTGGTCTGGCCAAAATACCCAAGGCGGGCTATCGCCACTGTTCATACTTAGTGAACTACACTCTAGAATCCCTAATGCTTGCAACTTGATGGACTAAAACACTTCAGAGGACATTCGTGTGAATTGTTACACCGTGCCTACGACGTGTATCGACTAGACACTTGAAGTAGGGACGACTTCCCGGATCTATGTCGTTGCATGATTGATCGACACAATGAGTATACCCGTGCGAATATCCGTTGGTGTCACGAGTGGAAACACATACACGCTTTCGGGAGATCCACGAAACCTCAACCTTCGTCTGAATACCGCCTTCAAAAGACAGATACCTCTGCCCTATGCCCCCGCTCTGAATGGACATTGCCAAGACCCTGTGTCCAATGTGTCGGCGTGCTGACCATCAGCTCCGCATATCTGCATGCACCTCGCCGCAGACACCTCACTGCACTGAAATACGGTAAAGAGACACTATGGGCCATTCTCTCCGAACCAAGGCCATCGATAGGCGCCTCGCGAAACAGCCAAGCACGCTACCAGGCCCAGCCGTAGCCCGGTGCCGTCGTGCCGAGCCGTCGCCAAGCGCCAAGACGAAGCCATCGTCGGCGAGCAACCGCGAGACACGGGGACGTGATTGAGGGGACGGGAATCGTGTCATCTCCAGCAATCGGCCCAAGACGGCTCCGTCGGGCTTGGCTGATGTCGAGGTGCAGCCCATCGTGAGGGGGTGACTTGACGACTTGAGGCCTCCGGGACCTGGACGACGATAAAACCCTCTAATCATCCAGTGTCCGAGGGTTCTCTCTCCTCATCAGCAACACATATCCTAGTCATCCTCTACTCCTCACTGCCACAATGCCCAACTTCCACCTCAGCGCCCAGGACATCTCCCTCGAGGACGGCCACGTCCTCCACGCCCAGGTGACCAACGAGGACGGCGACTACGTTGACAGCCAGCTCGACCTCAACTACTACATCGGAAACGACAACGGCTCCTTCCAGTGGGGCGGTGAGAGTGGGTAGTTTCCCCCGACCTTCCATCCCGTACTAACATGTTGCTAGACTTTGCGGACTCCGCCCAGGACATCTCGTTTGAGCTCGAGGGCGACGACAATGTCCCCATCCTCCGTGCGACTCTTGGAAACCTCGATGGTGAGGGTGTCACCTGCGATCTCAACCTCTCTGAGTGCATCGGCAACGACAACGGTGTGCTGGTCTACGGTACGTTCTTCCCAAGTCACCTCTATCCCTCATGCCATAGATTAAGATGCTAACTTGGGTTGTGGTTGTAGTTGCCTGATAAGGAATACATGAACATGTGGACGCAGGAGCAGGAATTCTCAGCCTAGGACGATACCTAAGCCGCTTGGGACATCCATGTCACGTCAGTGTGTGGCAGATATTCTTAAGTCTCGCCCGTAAAGTAAAATAAAAGCCCTTAATATGGAACTTAACAATGTCCTGCCTTATCAAGTTATCATCCTCAAACGGCCATGCATCGTGACAGGAGTAAGGTTGCCAACCGCTCCACGCGTGGCGTAGCATGTTCCGGAATACCCCACTGCGGTCGTAATGAACTTCTGTTGACCAAATCACTGCAAAATGGGTTAAACAATACATTCTTAGATTTTTTGCCGTGTATTACCTATTTTCGGCAGCTGCAATCGCGCGGGTAGTGGCAGTGATGCCGGAACGTGGACTCTACTAATCCTCGTCTTGGATATTGAACCTCGGGCTGCGTCAATGTGACTGTAGTCAACCCTACAATGGGACATCACAGACGTTGGGCTCAGTGCTGATGTGCGTGATTGGGAAAAGGCAGATTGAGCACTCTATTGTGGTTAAGCCAGTACAATGAACAACTGGTGAATTGCAGTCGGACTTTTAGTATATAGAGGGCGTAAATAGTATTTTTCTTTTCTTGAAGACTGAGCCAAGATCCAAGACTTCGAATGTATAAGACGCATATCTAAGAAATCCCTGCTAACTCCATGAACCAACTGTTATGAGTTACTCTAACTGCAAAAACATATCATCTGTCCGCTAGAATACCGAAAGTGCTGAAGCGTCAGCTGCCCGCAAAGCGCGGGAGCCGAACCAAATGCCTCCCCATGCCTCAAGCTCTAGGGCACCCAACGATGCTACTAATCCCGCACCAGGCGCCCCGAAATGTGCAAGCTGTGGGCAGTGCGAGAAAGACAGGCTCCGCCTAGGCCTCTGCAAGCTCTGCTATGATCGAGACAGAAGGCAGAGGGCTAGACAAGAAGGCAAATGTCATTCATGCCGGCTTGGGGTCTCAGCAGAGGGCAAGACACGGTGTGAAGACTGTTTAGCTAAGCAGCGCAATTACAGGAGCGGAGTTTACAAGAAGGCAAGAGAAAAAGGGAAGTGTAGCCTCTGCCTACGTAGGCCGGCAATGGAGGGAAAGAGTACGTGCGCAGAATGCAAGCCAATTCCTGAGCAGAAAAACGCTGCTTGGAGTAGGAACCAATGAAGGAAGTGAGAGACGGCTTGAATGTCTAGCTGGTTGCAGTATTCCTTAGTCAATAGAAGTCATACAAATACTACAAATCCATCTGGATAGCCCGCGTTAGATTTGTTGATATGCGACCTTGTCAGGGCCGTGCCAGATCGTTGTCCCAGTGAGCATTGCAAAGTCGATCATTGCAACAGAGGTCTCGTTGTTAAAATCATGCTAGGTGGGTTTCGGAATTCATCCATAAGCGGATTCACTTGGAATGCTGGGCTCGTCGCCGCAACAGGTACCATGGCCAGCAGAAGAAACCCAGTAGGATGCGAAAAAGAAACTTGCCATCGTTCTACAGCGCAAGTTTCGTCAAAATTCCGTCCATATATCAAAGCCTTGGGAGTTTGACCTTGAAGGAATACATCTGGTCCGATACGCCCCTATCTACACTTGTGGACCTACACGATAAAGTCACAAAAAGGCCAAAAAAAACATACAACAGCGAGGATTCCCCGGTCGTCACCGACCCGAGTACTAGTTCGCCCCTCACCAGCTTGACTAAGGGAGAGCGGACGGGATCCCGTATTTTCTAGTGGGTATGGTCGTATGTGACAGCTGTGCTGATAATGGAAATCATGAAACCAAGCCGTTTGCGATCATCTTTCTCGTCACACAGGACAAGTAGACTCTTTATATTATATGAAGAGAACTACAGACATCTTTTAATATTTCCACAGTCTAGGTTAATATCAAGATACTGGAGAAAAAGATGGTTTTCGGAAACCTAAGAGCAGGCAAGCCCAACTCATGCCACGAACCTCTTATGGTTTAGTAACCGAAAACTCCGCACCTCAGAAAAAGACGATATGCAGCAAACCCTCGAAGAGTTCATGCTGATTTTCTGAACTCCATGTTTTATAACCGAAGATTCCTCGACAGAGACAGGCAAACCCCTTGTAGCCTCTCGCTACTTGCCATATTTGTCCAATGGGAGATTGGTTCAAACGATGACTGAAACAATTCCGAGGGGTCTAGTTCATTTGCACAGCTGTCTATTAATCTTCCAATTATTAGAAGTACTGATGATCAATAGGAAGTCTCCCCTGTTTTCTGTCATTTATTAGACCTACCACTGTGCACCTGCTTTGTATCGCTTCCTGCAATGCATCACGAACGATTCAACAACAAATTACAACTGCGAATGTATAAGCGCGAATCTCGTAGCATGTCAAAACATTCCTGCACCTAATATTCTGACATGTTAGGCTATTTTGGTAATTTGGAGGAAGGGGATAGGACAGTTTTGGGGAAGGGGAAACATAGATGGGCTCCAGGTTTAAAAACAGTATCAAGCTTCCCAATACACACAATGAACACGCAAGCTGGGCTGCCACGTGATATATATACAAGGCTGCCAAATAGCAGACCTTGCAGCACCTGCATAAGCCTCAAGAAAATACTCATCTTACGCTGAAGGTGGGTCAGTTTGTCTTTCCCCTCATCAGGCTGTTTGACTTGCCGTTTTATATGAATCGTCACGCAGTTCCCAGTTGTTTCGGCTAGAGCACCGAAAGCAAGCATGGCGGATTTCTTGAACCTGACTGAACTTCCTCACGTCGTCACCGACACTCAAGACGCGGCAAGGCAGTACTTGCGGGACATTGGCGGCCATAAGTTCTGCTACTCTTGCTTCGGCCTTTACCCTGTCGTTCTCTCTCACATGGCACCCTTGGGCGGCGTATCAATGAACGACTTCGGCGACAATACGTTGGAGAGGCTGTCGCCATTTGAAGAGACTCTAGGATCGCGAGACTGGTTCACGTGGCAGTCCATCTACTTCAAGACGTATCAGATCCAGAAGCCTCTTCCCGAAATTGACGCCACGGCGACAGCAGGCTGTGTCACCTGCATGCTGATACGGGACCTCATAATCAGACTCACGAACAACGCAGTTGCATTCGATGACCCGCTGCTCTTCGTAGAACTGGTTCTCTGCAGAGGACATGCTTTGACACTTGTTATAACGAGGGGCACCGAAGAGGAAGAAGAGGGCGACGTGCTCTTCTTTTCAACAGGCCCGAAAGAGACGCAGTGGGTCTTGGGACCTTATCAAATCTACACACTTCCAGGTGTGTCTGATATTGCTCCATGGCGTCCGTAAACTAAATGTCCTAGGTTCGCCTTGTCCGTGGCCGACTATTGGAAGTAACATGACCAGGGTATCCCCTACGTACTTCATCCCGGTTATAGGGGGGCAGGCGGCTCAAATTTCCACGGACTTCAATACCGACGCTTGCTTCAACACTATCAAGGGATGGATTTCCACTTGCAAGAATGTTCATACAATCTGTAACGAAGCCGGCGCATCGACAGCGAAAAGCTTCCCCAAGCGAATCATCAGCATTGGGTCAGCATCGAACAACGAG